CGAGACCGCCCGGGCCCGGGACAAGTTGCAAACTCACGTACAGCTGCTGTCTGATAGCTGTGAGCGATATTTTCAATGCGCTGTCGGTAAAAATTACGCACATTTAGTTAGTGCCTGGTCCGATGATGTTTTCAGCGAGTTTCTTGGCCAACGATGCCAGCGGCAGGACATGAATATTTTAAAAATTCGCAGCGCTCTCAACGCCGTGCTGTACGTGGGCAGCAGCAGCACCAGCAGCAGCAGCAGCAGCAGCAGAAGATTGAAGATGCTGCAGGCGACGCGAATGGGGCAGGACGGGGCACGCACAATGAATAATTTAAGGCAGGCGGAGGCAGAAGCGTAGGCAGCGGCAGCGGCGGGTCTTGGCTGTCCTGGCGTCATCAAATAAATGCCAAATGAGCAATCAAAGTGCCATGAAGGACTAACTAAGCACCAGCTCCAATCCAAACCTCCTAACCTTCCGCTGATGAGGGGCTGTAAAAAATGATGTACACGCATAAACAGTGGATGGAGGGGCAAACACCAATGGAGCGCGTAAACAGCAAATAAAACGCGGACAATTTTTGCCCAGCATTAATAAAAAGAAAACCAAATTTTAAAGTCTCGACGAATCGAAAAGGAAAACTGAATTATATATTAAATAGATTGAAGGAAAGGAGCTGAACTGCATGGAACTTGGCAAGCGATGCTCAATTCTCTATGTGCGAATTGTTCGTATTCTGTGCCAGAGACAAAAACTTATTATAAGCCAAAGCGGCATCAGCTGTGCCAAGGGAGGGCGGGTAGCTGGCTATTGCTAGGCGTAGTCTAGGGAGGGAGGGGTATGCTCTCAGTTATTGTCTCAGGCACAGCGTCGATATGTAAGTAATTGGTATGTACAACTGCGCCTGCTGCTCGGCTTGCCAGAAGCTGAGAGAAATGCGGTTATGAATTTCTGAACAGAAAAGCGGAGTACGAGTAGCTGACACCCGAGGGTAGGTAGTGGTATATATATAGATATAGTGGTATCGGTTGGGGGGGGTTATTGCAATAGCTGCACACAGAACTTTTATTAAAAACTTGTGCAGTTGCCGAGTTGTGTCGAGTCGATGCACAGGGTGCTGATATAATATAAAAGGCTAAATAAAATGAGAAACTTTCATAAAACATTTGTGACTTTCGCAATTTTTTATGGCTGCAACTTAAAGTTATCTCTCTGGCTCCTTCTCCCGTCACCCGTCACCCGTTGCCCGTTCTCGTTCTCATTGTACGTATTAACTTGGTCCACGCTGATGGGGATTCGGGGTTCGGTAAGTGCAAGAATTTATCGCATGACACACTAAGGCGAGTCCTGTGCAGTTATCGAAATGGGCCAATGTGCTCAAGTGCATATATTGAATGGAGGCCATCAAATCGATTACTTACGAGCTTCTGCACGACGTTTCGCTTCTTGCAGCTTAGTACTTACGGTTTACGGTTCATATCGCTAACGAAATGGGTGCATCAAAAGACGTTTCATTGGGAAAACAATGTTTCCTGATTTGAAAGCAGTGCTGCCATTGCTGTTTATCTGTTATCGATAATATCGAGAATATTTGCTATCGTTAAGTTTATATTTGGTTGTATTTCGAAAAATTCTTTTCAATACTCGTCTTCAAGCTTGTATAAAGTCCTGTTTATACCGTGGTTAGTACTTTTGGGTGGATTTTCATTTAAATTATTCTGTTATCGATAAAGGTGTCATTGATTACTGTGATCGATTAAGTGTATATTTGATTATACTCCATGTAGAGTAAAATACTTATCGATTAGTGTATATTCATCGACTTCAAGCTTGTATAATGTCCCTCGTGATGAGATCTTGATTCTATTTTATTTCATATTTTTCATCGATTATTGTTATTGCTAAGTGTATATTTGGTTGCACTGAATTTAAAAGAAAATGCTTTTCGATAAATGTATATTTTTCGAATTCAAGCTTGCATAAAGTCCCTTTAATACCGTGATTAGTTATTTTGGCTCCATTTTATTTCATATTTTACCCAACCTTAAACTAATGAAAATACACTTCAATTGAAATTGTGAAGGAATTTCTTGAATCTGTTCACATTTTATTTACTTCTATCGGACTTATAAACACTTAAGTCGCCTAAGCTTTTGTTTGAATAACTTGTTAGAAATTTACATTCTAATGAAAACTTATCGATTAGTTCAAACAAAAGACAAACTTGCAATTTGCAACATTGCACCAAGGAATGCAGCAACTGAAAGGCACTTAAAGCCACAATCCAGAGATCCCAGCAGCCAATACTCATACTATTTGTGGGCCAAATAAATTTGCAAACAAATTTTGTGTTATCGATGCGAACATCTAATGACCCACTGACTGCTGATGCTGGCCAGTCCGGCCTACTGCATATACGAATATTGGCTTAATGAAACCCAATATCTTTGAGAATTTAGGAGGCATTGCACAATGCACAAGTTGCAACCGATAACTGCACGGCAGGGTGCTTTGATGTTATGGCGTTTATGTGGGGGACTAGGCAGAGGCAGAGGCTCATAAACTCAAAATGATGCCAGAAATATGGGCAATTTGTGTCTGTAGTTGTACGTGTGTATCTCCCGCTCGTTTACTTGGCCAAAAGCCAATTTTAGCCAAAACGCATGCCAAATTTGCCAATAACAAAACGAAACGAGATACGAAAAATAGCTAAATATTTTATGAAATCGATGAGGCAGGCGCCTACTGCCTACCCCACAGAAAAAAAAAACTGCATGCACTGCACAATTCTCAGAACTCAAAACGCAAAATACATTTTTGCATGGGTAACACTGGCGCTTCAGGAACTCGTTGTTGCCTCTGCTGTTTCAAAAGTAGTTCAGCAGTGGCAGTTGAGCGCATTGACAGCCCATACAAATGCGTTGCCATACCCTAACCCCCAGAGAAATTCACTTTGTTTAGCACTCGGATATGCGCAAGCGTTTCCCAATGGGCCATAAAGTTTCGACTCGTTCAATGCAAACTGATGACTCCTAAGCAAAAACTTTCTACCAAATATCCTCTGCTAATAACAAAAAGCGTAGGTTTTCTAGATACAAAGGCAGCTACTTTGAGTTGGATACTCCTTGAATCATATTTAAATTATATCTAAAAGTTGCCTTTAGCTCGAAAATGCATTATAATAGGTTTATTTGTGGGACATTATTATTCGCTCTTAAATATAATCATTTTCACAAATGGGAAATATTCTCTCAATTCTCTATGAAATTTAACAAATTGAACATATTTTATATATCTATATATTTATTAATTTAACTGTTTAATTAACAGCTGCTATGCTCTAGCCAGAGTTGAATTAGTTAAAATACAAAATATCCCTTTTAAGCGCTTTAGCGAGGGTATTTCTAATTCCTTGTGGCTCTGTTGCGCTTGCATTTCGTTTATTGTTGCCATTTTGCATTTTCAAACTATGCTGCAGAGCGGGTGGGCGGTGTGCGCTGCTTTGGCCAACGCGAAACAAATAAGGTAAAGTTTCATTCAGGTAGTTGTTGCTGTTGCTTTTGCTGTCATTGTCGCAGCGCCATTTCTCAGCTGCGCCAAAAAGTATGCCGCTTCTTTGGGGTTTTCCCCTCTAAAGCTCGTAAGCTCGTAAGAAACTCACCTGCATGGAGGTCGCCCAACTCGTTGCCAGTGGTGCTGGCAGCGCCGCTCTCAGCGCCACTCAACGTGATGCTGGCCCGCTTCTTGCCTCGCCAGACGCTGACGCCAAAGCACTCGGCACAACAGCAAAAGACAAAGCCCAATATCAGCAGTATCCAGGCGGCGACCATTAGCACAATGGTCGATGTGGAACGGTAACTGTAATTCTCCTCCTCGTAGAGCACCAAAATGTTGTCGCTACTGTGATTGCTGTTGTTGTTATTGTTGTTGCCAATGCTCTCACTGATATTGTTGTTGTAGTTGCTATTGTGAATGCTTTGCAAGTCTGGTGAATAGATATCGTCGGCATTCGCCAGCGCCGCGTAGCTGCTGCCCACCATATGGAGAAGCGGTTGCAATTTGGTCAGACGCAAATATGTGATATTTGACATTTTGGCAGCATTGGCAACGGCTGCACTCACTCGTTCACACACTCGAATCACTTAATCAATCAGTCGGTCGATCAATATTGCAATTTTTAATAAATTCGCTGCAGGAGCAATAATGAAATGCGGCTGGCTTTTGTGTTGCTCACGCGACACTCACGACAACTGTCAACTAGGCGACTGCGACTGGACGTGCAACTGGCTTATTATCTAGAGCGTTGGCTACGCCGAAACGCTGGCTCCTACGTTGTTTGGTTTGCTTGTGTGCGTGAAAAATTAACAACAACAACAACAAGAGCAGCAAGTAACTGATGACAGCGACTAACGCCGCACAAAAATTTTGTTTTCGGCCGCAATCTTTATTATCACCATGTGTATTTTAGCAGATAGATCGACAGACAAACAGACAGACGGATAGACAGAGAGACAGGCATTTTGTACGTGTGCCCGGCGTCTGGTCTCTTCTCTGCATTGCCCCGAGTTTTGTTTACATGCGAGAGTGCTGAGCCCATTATTTGCTCTGCGATATACAGAGCGCGACATCAGCCGAGCCATGGTGAAAATACATTCAAAATCCATATGTAAGTTGAGCTGCGCGCATATGTTGAGCAGAATAAATTCGACCGTTGGAGAGGAGAGCCTTCTAGAGAGGCACTTGTGAGAGAGCGTATGCAAAGAGTGGTGGGTTTCTTGAGCGAGCTTAACAGATCTTTGTGGCGAGGCACTTGACTGATAAGCATCAGTGTTGGATATTGTGTGCGAATTGGTGGGTTATAGATACGCGGGAAAATTCCACAATTTGATTATAATAACTTGAGTCAACAAAGTGGGAACTCTACTCGTGAGCATCTAAAAATAAAAGTACTAATGCCAGCTATTGATAAGTGGATGAATTAAGGCTCAAACCTGTTTATCACTTAAGACTTTTACGATTTAGTTAGGCCCACAAGATTTAGCTTGTATTGATTTATTGTATCATTTGGTATGCGTCAAATTTCATATTTTGATATCAAAGCAGGCAATACATCAATTTTCGATCCCAGCTCTGTGCTACTTGTCTCATTGCGTTTGGTAATTCATCCCCGGAGTGCATTGACCACATTAGCGCAGCTCAGAAGATCGCATTTGACCAAAGTTACTGAAAATAATTGATTTAAAGAAGTTTTTATTTAATAAGTGTTAGCTTCTCATTAATTGTTTGGACTTACATTGACAGGCGGCACGCTCCAGCTGGCAGCGTGTAATATTTTTCCAATTGCGATTTTGTCTGCGGCAGCGGACATTAAACAAGTTTGTCACATCATCCTCGGGTCCTGTCAAACGCTGAGCTCTCACACAGATTTTAGACACCTCGTCACATGTCTTCCGCTGCGCCTGAACTTGCAGCAAGCACATGCAGCAGATAGCTATAAAAGAAAAAGCACTTTCGGCATTATCCTTGAGCCTTGCGACTGAATTGTGGCTATCTTACCCAACAACAGCACAAATTTCGACATGTTTGCAGTGTAACTCGAGTTGTATTCTAGCTAATTTGTGCTAAAGTACTAGGTATTTATAGTGAAAGCCCAACTTAAGGAAGTAATTTTTGGGCTTTGTTCGCGGCCCAGCTGTGAGCCAGATGCTTTGTTGTTAAACTATGAGACATCGGGCATTATTTTGGGCGCATAATACAGTTATTTGATTAATTAATTGAACTGAAAAACTTTGGGGAAACAGATATATATATGGCATTGTGCAACATTACTATGTGGTCTAAAGAACAGGTGTTTCTGATTGATCCGCTTCTATAGTATTTTCTGCCTATATAAGCCAGCTTTAAAACCCAATTGAGTATCAGTAATCGACTATAGATCGCAAAATGCATATCCAAAGCGCACTCGTCCTATTCTTGGTAATCTGCTGCGTGGGCCTCGGTAGTGCCCAGAGGCTCGATTGTAGAAGGATCTATAGAAGCTGTGCGGCCTGTCCAAGAAGTCGTAACAGCATAATGGTTATAGATTCTCTGTGTCGCTCGAAGACCAAAGATCGCTGGATCTGGAGAAATCAAACACAGTGCGATATTCAGCGCATTTCTTGCGAAAGTAAGTCCACGTGGAAAATGGTTTGTTTCAGAGATAGATTCTGATTTATTATATTCCCAACTAGATCCTGACCAGAAACTCAACTGTGACAACATTGCCAGGTTAGCTAAAATGACGCCCAGACGCGCTTAATTCTGCTTCGGTTTTCATTACTTAAAGACAACATCTTAAATAAAATGAAGATTACGTAACAGGCACAACATACCATTTGCTGTTGAATTAATCAAAATAAACAATGCAATACATTTCAATATGCTTTTAATACATTTATGTGAGTCCTCACTCTGAAGTGCTTTTTAAATACTTGTAACGGTTTAAGCTTTTATAACACAGACACCCAACAGGCCAACAGTCCAGCCCAAACTCAAACTCAAACTCAAGCCCAAGCCCAAGCCCGAGTCCACTTCAGCTCACGTCATGAACATGATTATGTACTTTATGAATGTGCAGCAAGACAAGTGGAAGAGCGAGAGAGCGAGAGAGAGAGTGCGGGAGGGAGGGAGGTAGGGAGAGAGAAAGAATCAATGATATATCCAAATTTTTGATGCCCTGTGTTTCATTTAAGATTGCAAAAATTATAATCACAGCTCTTCAGAGAATTCATTTAATAAAGTTGTCTTATATATAGAGGGGAGAATATTTTCTATGAGATATCCAAGTTTTTGATGCCCTGTTTTTCACTTAAGATTGAAGAGATTAAAATTACAGCTCTTTAGAGAATTTATTTAACAAAATTATGATATGTCTATATATATTAATTAAAATATTTTTTAAAATATTATTCAAAAACATATTTTTCAAAGTCGACAGAGAAGTTGTCTTATATATAGGGAGAAATATATATATAGATATAAAATATATATATTTTTTTGAAATTATTATTCAAAAATATATTTTTCGAAATCTTGTAATGCAGGAAGACACTTGGAAGGGAGGGAGACAGAGAATTATATGTTATGAGATACCCCAAATTTTTTATGCCCTGTTTTTCACTTTAAGAATTAAGAATTTAAATAACGATTTTGTTGTATTTTATATATATATTTATATATCTCAAATTCATATTTCTCAAATTGCTTAAATATCTCAAAGTCTAACCGCACTTAAGCTTACTTTAAGGGCATTCTATATCTTTCCCTGCAAAATCACATTTATTATTGGAGTAATGCCAACTAGATGACATAGCTATTGTGCCCATTATGTAGAGTATAATGAAATGGTTTAAAGTCGTTGCGGGAAGGTGTGGAAATGGTTTTCACAGGCTGCGACTGCCGGCCAACTGCTTATATAATACATACTCGTATTTGAAATTGAAAATCTTTTGGCGCTGCACTTGAAAACTGCTTAGGACCAGGCCATGGATGATGAACTTTATAAAACTCTTGACCACACTTGCCGCAGCGTCTCCCCCCGCGCGCCCTTCCTCGGGCCACACTCTGGCCATGTCTGACCAGCTGACGGCAGCTGCTTTATGTGGTCAGACGGGGTGAAGGGGTGGAAGAAGGGGGAAGCATTGCACTTGACTTTAGCGCCACTTGTAAGTGTAAATTTTATTTGAGCCAACCAAGTGTTATAGTTGTAGATACATACTTACAGCTACACACACACACACACACACACACACAGACGGCCATGCCCTTTGTGATGTGTTCAAGTGGCATCGCTGGTTATTGGCATTGGACTCGGACTCGGACTCGGACTCTGAGAAGTTCGCCCAGCTGGGTTCTCTTGTAGTTGGCGTCGTGTCGTTGACAGCTAAGTGGTGATAATCGCTTTTGAATTGAATTTGGAGCAAGTAAATTTTATGCGCAGCAGACAAAGTTGAAAATTCAAAAGTGCAACACACTCCACTGTGCCCTAGTCCCAGACCCAGTCCCAGACCCAGTCCCAGGAGGCTCCAGTTGGACACTAGACAAAAGGCTTTAGAAGCTCTCCCACAGCTCAGCCCCATGCCTGTCATTTAAGGGCGTTATTTTTTTGTTCGGGGTGTGGCTTTGTGGCTTGGCAGAGGCGAAAACTGATTTTCAAGCCAATGTTGTTGTTGTTGCTGTTGTTGTTGATGTAGCTGCGGTTTGTATTGTTGTTGTTGTTGGCTTTGTGGTTTCTAATTTGTAAACTAGATTTGGGGCTTGGTTTAGCACCCAGTCTGGTCTGTAAGTCATTTAATCAAATCGTCTTGAATTCGTGCACAGCAGCTTTTTCATTGCAAGATTTATAAAGTAATATTCCTTATTTCGAGAACTAAATCTTTAGTTGCAGCCACATATTTGTTACTCTATATTAAGTGGATCTTTCCGCATAATATAAACTAATAAAATATATGTCAAATTGGCATAAGTCTCGCTGCAGCAAAGCTCACTTAGCAACTGGTAGAGAAAAGTATCTTTAACAACGTAATTTATATGATGGCCATAAGCTTGTAGTAAATTTTATATTCGACTTTATTCGGATGCATTGCTCTGGAGGGAGATCCATTTGGTGGCTTGGCAAATGGAAGTATAAGAGCGCATTGTGCCGGGCAGTAAACAAGTGTCTTCGACTTATTTCGATAAATCTTGTCTGGCGCACAAATTTGCCCCCCCCCCCCCCTGCTGCTGCTGCTGCTGGCAGCTATTCTAGGAATGAGCAGCCAAGTTTGGTGCATCTTTCACGTACTTGGCATTACCATAAAGCCCAGACGCGGACCCAAACCCAGACACAGCTTCGTCATCTTCCAGCCAGCACGGACAGCATCAGCATCCTCATCAGCATAGCCACATTATCGTCATGCTGGTCGTCCACTTGATGCAGCCTCCTCCATCTGAGAAGTTCTTCAAAATTTTTGACATGCGCCAGTCCCACGTTTTACACTGCATGTGTGTGTGTGTGTGTGTGCGGTTGCTTTGATACATTTTTCAAAAACATAATTTTTCACATGAAATTGTTTTGATTTTTCTTGATGCCATAAAAAATTGAAATTTATCACTTTGAGGCGAAGCTGAAGGAAACACAAAAAGGACTTAGTCTCAGACAAAGTTTTAAGAAGTTTAAACTGTATTAAAGTCTTTTCATTTGCTGCAAGACAAATTCTTATGTTTTCCTGGCATTAGGTTTAAAAGCAGCTGCAACTTTCAATAAATATTCGTTGCTTTTTTGTCAAGCTCCAGCTAAAACAAATACGCCTTGGGTCCTTGTCAAGAGTCTAACGACGGCAGGAAATGTTTATGAGCTAATCATTTTTAATTATTTCACAACTCGCTGTTCAAAAATAATTACATACAAGCCGCGGGGGGGGCTGAGTTGAATAACAACATAACTAAAATCTAAATCAATTTCATGCCATTTCCTCCCGGTACCCCACCCCCCACCCCCCCCACAACCTGCACGTAGCAACTGCCGCATGCCACGTGCCAAAGAACAACAACAATAACAATCCTGGAGTTGGCCCTGCATACATTTATAGCACTCGAAGCCAAAAAATTTCATTACACTGCTGCAGGGCATGATTGGGGCGGGGAATGGGGCGCGGAAACGGGGCGGAGCGGTGTCGATGTAGAGGTCTGCCCCTTGGCGTTGAGTCAATTACAGAAAGGAAGCTGTTTTGGCGCTCCCGAAACAAACAGGCGATGACGTCGTTCGTTCGATGGAGACAAACCAAATGAATGAGTGGGAGTAAGGGGCATGGGGAAGTTGTTATATAGTTGCTTAATGTTTATCTAGCGACGGTAATCAGCAAACGCAGCGCTGACATGTGTCGTGGATCTTGATAAGGAGGCAACCCCAAAGCCGAGAACCAAATCTGAATCCAAGTCCGGCCCAGTTTGGATGAGTTTTTAATAAACTGTCAGTTAATAAAATGTTCAGTAAATTAGATTATGCCCGACAAAAGGGTAGCTGCTGCTGGAGCTGGGCTCGGGGGTTAGTTCGATTGCAGTTCAAGAATTCTCCATATTGCTGACACATTTCAAGCGCAACGCGCTGAAAGTTTTAGTTAGGTGCTCGGCCATTGAATTTTCCCGCAGCAGAGCTGAGTGTGAAATTTGGCAGCTTGTTATGGGCAGACAGCGCCTAGTTGGCGAGGGCGAGAGGCGAGAGGGGAGCGGGAGGGTGAGAAGACGGAGGAACTATGTCCGGACGAGACCCCAATCATGTAGCAGCTTGTAAAATTGCAAGCGTGAAAAGCAAATTGAAAAGTTGCTCGTGGCTGAGTTTGGAAAGGCTGTTGATTTGGAGAATTCTCAAAAAGTTGCACCAACTTGTTAAGAAAAAGGTTTGGGCCAGCCACACTTTGGGCCAGGATTCACGCGGTAAATTGTGAGCGAAAGGGTGTTAGATTATTAGAGATATGAAAGGATATGGGCAAAAACAAAATAGTTTAATAATTGAGCCAAAAGTTGTAGAGTTCAACGAATTGAATACAAATATAAAGAAGAAAAGTGGGTTTAATTAAGATATGGACGAAAAAGGCTCAAGCTAAGGTTGGAATAAAACATTAATAATAATATCCGATTGTGAGTAACTAAAAAGTTAAGTTTAAATTTCACAGAAAGTACACATTAATCTTTTCTTTGGATTTTTTCATTTGTTTTGTTTTTGATAGTCTTTTAGAGCTCTTATTAAATGTGCTCAAATTTAGTTGATTTGGTTAGTTTCTATACAAGAAATTTAAGATTAAATTTCACACCAAGTACGCATTGTTCTTTTCCTTAAATTTAGAGTTTATTAGAGCTCTTCTTTTATGCTCGAATATATCTCTATGAAATTAATTGCATCTTTAAGTTGATTCTTAAATAGATTATTGATAATGATCGATTAAAAGCAATTAGAAAATTAAGATTAAATTTTACACCAAGTACACAATCATTTTTATACCCTGAACCCATTAAAAATGGGTAAAAAGGGTATAATGAATTTGTGCAAATGTATGTAACAGGCAGAAGGAAGCATCTCCGACCCCATAAAGTATATACATTGTTGATCAGCATCAACAGCCGAGTCGATTTAGCCATGTCCGACTGTCTGTCCGTCCGTCCGTCTGTCCGTCCGTCCGTCCGTCTGTCCGTATGTATGAACGCAAGGATCTCTGCTCCTATAATAGCTAGAGACTTGAAATTTTACTTGTAGGTCCTCCTAGTCCCCGCGCAGAACGAGTTTGTTACCGATATTCGATAACTTGCCCCGTTTCCAAGTAATCGAAATCCTGATTTTTGAGCAATTTCGGCAAATAATATGAGCTAGAGTCACCAAACTGGACATGCAGCTTCTAGAATAGTAAATACATATATATCAAGTATCTTTCATATTATACCTATCGCCTGTTGGAAGAAGAGGGTTCAGGTTATCCCCTAGTCGGGAGCTCCCGACTAGAACCTCTTACTTGTTTATGTTTATTTAGTATGACCTTCTAAATTTCGCATAAACTGCAGTTATATCTTTTTCTTAAAGTTTATTTGAGTATTTATTTATAGTTATTGCTTAGAGGTTTCTATCATGGCCTTATATTTAGTTGAGTTTGTCCTTTTTTTATATTTTTTCTTATATGTAGGTAATGTTTTCTTCTTAGAGATATTGCTTCTTCCCTCGTGCTCTATTTATCTCTTTAGTTAATTTCGTAACCCTTCAATGAGCTATCAGCTTTTAGTTGCGACACAATGAAACACCTCCCATTGTCTGGACTCAAACCCACCCATTAGCTCGTCCAACCGCCCGCATGCAAGCCACCCCCTTTGTGCGCCACCCACATGCTCCCACCCACCACCAACTCCAAGGCCCCAGCTCCTGGCATAACGATGGCACGTTTTTGTTGCAATCCCAATGAGGAAATGCTAATCCGCATGTAATATTCGAAAATGATATGAAAATGCCAAACCAAACAACCACCCAACGAAAGTTGTGCCCAAAATCCGAACCCGGGCCTCGGCGTATGGGCCCAATGCCAATATTACTCAATGTCAACATCAAAATTGCTTTGGAATTCATGCATTCATTCGTTCGCTCGCCCATTCCCTCATTCCCTCATTCCGTCATTCATTTGCCGCTAAAAAACTAACGAAGTATAGAAATTTTCATTTTGTATTTCAGTGAATTTTAATGCCGCTGCAGAAAGCGCCGAAGTGCCAGGGGAAGTGCCAGGGGAATCTGGCGGGTTGGTCCTGCTCTGGTCCCTTAAATAGCTGCGCAGGGCGCTGATTAAAAGTGGCAACGCCTGTGCCATGGGGTTGAGTTGGTTTTCCATTCTTTCCTTTTTTGTTTTGTTGTTGGCTGGTTTCGTGTTGCAACCTTTCCATTTGGCTCTGCGGTCCACATGGGGGTTGTCATCTGCCGGCTGCTGCACTTGTTCTTTGCCACGACCCCAACGACCGAACACGCCGGCAAATTTCGTCACAGACGTTGGCGTGAAATTTCGAAACGAATTCTCTAAACAACAAAACACACGAAACTCGTGGCGAATGTGTCTCATTGTAATTTTTGTAATGTTTCAGAATTCGCTGCATGGGCGCAAGTTTGTTTTCGTTTAAAAATTATTAGAATTCAGTTGGTTGTTTCCTGGGGTGTGGGCTGTGGGCTAGCTGGGATGTCGGGTGTGGGGTGTGGGTGGTGCTTGGGCGGTGGTTGCACAACAGCTGGTGCCCCGAATGTGACCGGCATTTGGCCGCAATGTGGTCGATGTTAAAGGACTTGTCTACGGCGCGCTTTCTCAAAAGTCGGGTGAGGTGAGGGTGTGTGCTGAATCATGTGCTTGGGGTTTTAATATTTTGTCAGAGGGCCGCAAAGTGCAAATGCTAAGCGATTTGTTCGTGAAATCAAATACACGGAGGGGTGAGTGTTATTTCCCGATTTATTAAACTATTTTTGAGAGCCAAAAAGTTGTGGACAATGTTTTGAGTACTACAACTTGACTTTTGGACAGAAAATTTAAAAGATCTTGACACTAAAAAGTGGTGCTGCTTTTGGGTTTGTATTTCAGGCTGGTTATAGAATTATAATTAATTAACTTTGATATTTATTCTCATAGAATTTAAACTGAATTTCGATTTAGTTAACATGTTCTTTGTCATATGTAAGAGCTCTTATGAGCCGTGCAATTGCCTTAAAATCGTGCTCATGATTTATTTTCCTCGAATGTAATGTTTAAAATAATAAAACACTTTGATTCCATATATGTGTTCAAATCATAGGGCAGCCTCTGGCACTCAAGTTTTTCATTACAAGGACTTAAAACACAGTTCAAACAAAACATTTGTCCGCCTGCAAAAGCAAGCAGAAGTTGAGCTTTTCGGATACTTAAACAATTCAATGGACTGCAGTTGCCTGGCAGGTTACCCCCCGCCGTACCCGCCCGCCCAAAAACCAGCAAGCATTTGTTGTCCATAAGCTGCAAAAGCAAGCTAAAATATTTATAATGCTGTCCAACACTTGGCTGACCACATAAAACGACAACAACAACAACGAGGACAACAAAAGAGGACAGAACATTGACCGCAGCACAAAAACAATAAATTGATTTTGTATCTTTGAGAACAAGTGCAGGATATAGGAGCACATAAGGATACAAAAGGAGGGGCAGTGGCAGTGGAGGGAACGTGTGCTGGAAGCAGACTGAAATTGTATGCAGAATGTTGCAATACACGCCCCGATAATTATGAAATTCGAAGCGCAAAGTGAACGAAAAACCCAATAAACGAACCCCACGAATTCCAAAGAAAGCAAAACAATTTATGGTGCAACACGCCCCGAAAACTTTAGAAACGCGACTCTTGGCAGCGAAACGTCCAGTAAAACGAAAGAAATGAAATAGTACAAAACAAAAACAAAAGATGAGGGCGTGGCAGTTGGGCGGGCCAGCAGACGTTTGAGAACCAAGGACACAAAAGGACAACAACATATGCGAAAGGGATAATAATTCACAACAAACAATGCAACTGGCCATATAATAATAAATTTAGGCGCGCCAGATGAACCAAAGCTGACCGCATTATGGTCGTAGTTTTTGTCCAGGCATTAGTCCCTCTCTCTCTCTCTCTCTCTCTCTCACACACACAGCGGACCGCATGCACTTGTCCGGCACAAAGGATTCAGGACTCTGGACGCTGGTTCGCTAACGATGCGACACGCGCGCAGCAGGAGAACGTTTGATGTGAGGCGACGCGACTCGACAATGTCCTGTGCGAGCCAAAAATTGACATTTAATGAGCCCGAGAATGCGACCCAGCTCCACACACACACACACACATTCACACACACACACGCACACTCAGCTCGTTTATGTCTCGTATCTGGTTTATGTAATCGCATAAATCCTGTTGCCAGCAGGAGCTGCATGCCGTCAGCCCTTCAGGTTTGTGCAACACCTTTTGTTATCATTCAAAGCACTTGTTTTCCCTCTGGCCAGGTAGGGCCAGCAGCATCTCTGCTCATCTCTCGCTCCCTCTCCCTCTCCATGGCCCCCCTCCTTTTGTTTGTTGCTGTTCAGCCATTTGGCAAATATTACAGGTTTACCTGCATTGTATGCATGTGTGTGTGTGTGTGTGTGTGTGTTGACTGTGTATGTGTGTGTGTGTCCGGATTTTCGATTAGCTCACATATCAAAATGGTACGTTAACTGTTTTCAAGTTCGTGGCATGTCAACAGCACACGTAGCCGATGCAACGATTTTCGAGTCAATTTATCTGTCTAGCCTGCGATTTAATGAGTTTGTTTAAGATACATTCCCGATAGAGGCAGATAGAAACAGAGCAAACCCATTTCTGTGTGCCTTATCGATTGAACGTCCATGCTGAGCTACTTTGGAAATATACTTGAGATGAAACACACAGAAAACTATTTCATAAACATATACATAGATGTAGACAGATTCTATAGATACTATATCTGGGTCTATTCTCGTTTTATTTATTTTAGTTATTTAAATTGAACTATTCAAAAATATATATATGCTAAGTCAATTGACACTTAGACCAAATACATACTAAATTATTAATATTACATATTAGAAAATCAATAAATATTGATTTTAAGGCGTTTTTTTTTGGGTAATTTACTAATTCGAGTGTCTTTGTATTTCTAGCAGCTGAGTGGATGCTAACGCATTACGAACCCCAAGTGGATCCACAATGTTTCTTACGTTCTATGTCTGGAGAGCAGGAGGGCAGATATCTTTGACGTAGACTTAAATAGAACGAAATCAGGCTGCTTGCTGTGATGCAAGGTAAAAGCATTAACTTAAGGCCCTTCTGTTCATATTAAATTATCCAATAATTGCAGGCGATTGTTAAATTCTATTGTGCAGCATTAAGACTGTTTGTTCTTTCTTGCCCGCCTGCCATAGCCAAGGTGCCGTAGAGACGGCCACGGACTGTGGACTACGTTGGTTAGCCTGTGCGGACGATTTGGCTGCTCCAGCTTGCTGGTATTTACAAGTAAGTGTGTTTTATCTAAATATCATTGTTTAGTCAGCCCATTATCAAGGACATTATTGTAAGTTAGTCACATTCCTGCCCAAACTTTCCTGTGACAAACTACTCGTATCGAATAGTGCTATCAGGGGGCCAAAGGACATCTTTATTGTCCGTATACTGTTCATATATCATAAAAATTGGGTTTAAATCACAAAATCGGTCGTAGAAAATTGTATAAAGATCGGGCTTATATCTTCTCGATCCTGATCAATCCTGTATTAAACAGTTTGTATAGACCAGGGGCACCAACTCGCCAAAGAACAAGAATATTGTCCTTGCAATTTCTAAGATATGGCTATATATGTGCAAAAAGAACATTCAGACCAATTCGCTCATAAATTGGCCATTTCAAGCACAATCCCTATGTCCTTTGGCCAACATGCAGTCCATGTCCTGCAAAATTAGAATATGTAATAAAAAGGACCAAAGTCCATCAAGGATCTGAGGAAAAGAGATAATTGTCTGTGAAGAAAGAAGGCTGTAGGTCGGCTGTATCCCTGATTATCCTGACGAGTCCTGTGTCAAACAACTCGTATTGATAAGGACTATAATCTGGCCAACGCATATAAAAATTGTCCTTTTTATTTCCGAAATAGGGCTATTTTTCTTAAAAATGACATTAATACCTAAATAAGCAATAAATTGGCCACCTTAAGGACCATCCAGATGTTCTTTGGCCAACAAGCAGTCCTTTTCCTGCCAACTAAGAATATGTAATAAAAAGGACGAAAACCCTTCAAGGAGCTGAGAAAAAAGGATTTTTGTCTGAAAAGAAAGAAGGCTGTATATCGGCCGAATCCTTGCGGATCGTGATGTCCTTTGGTCAACCGATAGTCCTTATCCTCGCGATTCAGAATATGCAATGCCAAGGACGAAAGTCCTTAAAACAGCCTTGATATAAGTAAAATTCTTTTGTAAATTAATAAAGCCATAACTCGGCTGTATCCTTGCGGATCCTGACAAGTCCTGTGTCAAATAAATCGTATGAACAAGGACCATAAACTGGCCAAAGGACAACAAAATCGTCCTTGTCGTTTCCGAAACATGGCCAATTTTCTAAAAAGGACATTTTATTAATAGCCGTAACTCGCCCAAATCCTTAAGGATATCGGAAGGATATGCCTTTCTGAACTCGTGGGGAGCAGGACTATCGATTGGCATTCAAGGATTTTAAGGATTCGACAAAAAATTTCACCTAAATTTTTCCTAGGGGGTTAGTCGCAAAATTGGCCAAAATCGAAAATATCCGGGCTAACTTGGCCATCTGAAGGACTATCGGGATGTCCTTTGGCCAGCAGGTAGTCCTCGCCCTCCCATTTAAGAATTTACCACCCAAAGGACGAAAGTCCTTCAGACAAAAAAGTGTTAAGGACAATTTTGTAATCAAAAAATAAGCCATAACTCGGCCGTATCCTTGCGTATCCTGTCGAGTCATGTGTCAAAATAATTGTATTAACTAGGACTACCACCTGACCAAATTTCATTAAGATCGTCCTTGTAGTTTGGCAAATATTTAAGGATATGCGTTTTCAGCCCATTTCCGTGCGCTCCGCGACTGAAATTTTACAAGTGAAAATACAAGTCCCATGATTCTTAGATGACCCCATAATTTTTTGATGCAGATCGATGCAATGGGTCTATACGATCGTAACGCACCATGTCCTTTGAAAATCTGCAAGGATATGGCCGAGTCAAGTCCTTTTTTCGTTACATAAACTGCTTTTATACATTTTTTGCCTTGTTTAATTTAAATTTGTTTTTATCATTTCAGATTGACAAATTAAGGACTACAATGAATTCCAAGGACCTCCACGAAGGACAAAGCAAATTTTTCCAGGATCGGACTTTAATTAAGCCAGATATTGCTATTTTAAGTACAAATAGGCTAAAATTCTTATTTATGCTCGTTTTGTACACTTTTAAGAGAAATAATTAAGAAAATAAGCATAAAAAACAATTTTATAAATTTAAACAAAAATAAACGAATTATTTAAAGTGGAAATTCTGTTTTTTTATTTATAAATTCAAAAATTAACGGTTTTTAGAAATCCATTGCCTACCCGCCAGGGGCGTCTGCTGACAACCGCTGGCTGCCGAGATTTTTCTTAAAATCTGCCAAAATACCAGGCGAACAGAAACGCCCAGAAGGTCGACAAAAAATATTTTTTAGCTGCCGAAAAATTTCATTGCATACCCAAAAGGGGCGCCCTCGCCGCCGGCTGGGTCTCAAATTTTGACTAAAATTTCACCAAAATACCAGGCGAACATAAATGCCCAGAAGGTCAATAAATAATATTTTTGCGGACGAAAAGTGACGTAGTAAAAAGGGGCACCCTCACCGCCGGTCCCAAATTTGCCCTAAATTCCGCTCAAGTACCAGGCGAACATAAATGCCCAGAAGAACGACGAGTTCTTCAGATAAAAATTTTCAGAAATGTAACTCAATTAAAATGAGTAGTGTTAAGTAACAGATCATGTAAAATGAGTGATGTAAGACGGCCGTTAACCAACAGCTGGAGCTGCAGCTAATGTAAAAGGGCTCCTGAAAGAAAAAGCATACATATTTTTGGACCATTTCAATGCACATTTTTCAGGGATCTGATCCTTTAGGTTTCCAAGGACTATATCGATGGTACGGTATAACCAAGGATATGCTAGTCAACTAGAAACCATACGGGGGGCGGGGCTGTTGATGGGGGTCCCTGTAAAAAGTAGCATACATATTTTTGGACCTAGTTCTTGCGTATTTGCTAGAACTCGGTCCTTTAGGTTCGCTAGGACTATATCCATGGTATGGAATAACCAGGGATTTATAGATCAACTAGGTACCAACATTCGCGATTATTTGCTGATTGCAAGCTTTAAAATACAAATTCTTAAATGTTTTTCAATGGAAATAACTCCGCGGTGATTATGATTGATTGGCGGAATTGTGTCGCTTTACAACGACATAAGCACGCGCAGAAAGCGACACATTCCGCGCCGAGATGTGGTGTTTTTAGATCGTCGATCTGAATAATTTAATGTGATATAGCTCCGTCCATCTAACAAGGACATACTAATTTGTTGATAATATGTTGTCCATGAGCGTGGCAGATTTGGCTGAAAAATACAAAATGGAAAATGTATTAGTTTTTGTAAACTAAAATATATCGGTTGAATTACATTTGATTTTGAGCACATACCTTTTTTCCAGACTTGGCAATAACTTAAGATTCCTTAAAATGTCTATTCATTGAATGAAATAACCATGGATTTAATTAAATGTCATCTAGGTACCAACGAAACTGAACATTTTACTGTCCATGTGCGTGGCATACTTGGCTGAAAGATAGAATAAAAAATGAATAAGTTGTTGTAAACTAAAAAATATAGGACCAATTTTGCAAGGACGTACCTTTTAGGATTCGTGAGTCTTTAAAACTGACAGAATACTGAACATTTTGATTTCAGTAACAATGTAACCATTGCCAATTTCGTAAAAATTTAGAATGAGATTTTGTTAAATGTATATCCATGGTATGAAATAATCAAGGTCATAAAGGTACCGACGATATTGAAGGTTTTCTTGTCCATGGCAGATTTTGCTGAAAAATACAAAATGAAAATTTAATTAGTATTTTAAAAGTTTTGAATAGCTCTATATCGTCCGATATCGGAAGGATATAACTTTTGAGGTTTGTAAGTCTTTTAAATCGACGCAATTATACAAATTTAGAGTTTGCCAACCAATTTAAGGTTTAACTTCTGCCATTTTGGTCAAGCTTTAGAAAGCGATTTTTAATGCCAATTGATACTTCCAATCCGTACGAGGCCGAAAGCGTATGCCATTAGAGATACGAACGGTATTTACACGAGAATATTCACTTATAATATTTTTAACAGCTGCTCGACATTTAACTTAAAGACAATTATGTTGAGTGGACACAAATTGGCGAACAGCAAATTGAGCAGGCGAATCATAAACTCGAGTGAGCTCCATTCAAAGGTAGATAACGCATAAGCAACCACACACAAGCATAGGTAGATATCACTCAAGAAAACACACATCCAAACATATGTATGTATGTATGCAGAGATAATTGCCAAATATGCGCGTAAGTATGTGTGTATGATTGCTAGTGTATTATCTTCTTATTAATCTCGCTCTTGCGAATTATTACGAAAAGAAATATTCACTATTTTTTGGTTAAATTTGAATGGATTAGCTGGAATATATATATCACACACGGACGCTTTTTACCCGTGAATTTTCACCAATTATATTTTTGAACAGCCTTGCATGACAGCCGGTATTTAACTAAAACGAAATTATTTTGCGGGGACAAAAAATGAACGAAATAATCGATTGAGCGGCATTTAACAGTAGATAATTTACAGGCAATCACACACATGCACAAATAGACAAGATGCAGAGGGGATCGTCAAAAATGTACAGATGTATGTATGTGTAAATGCGTGCTTCTGCAATATCTGCATATGCGTCGCTGTCTCCCGAATGTTTGTGAGCAGCAACAAGACTTCCTCCAATTATGCGTGCTCTTCTTTAGTCCGCTCGCACAATTTTGTGTCATTTTAGCAAGCACACACACACATTCACTAATTGACACGTACAAGTGGACAGCACACAAGAATGTGCAGGCCTAAGGCAATGACGAATATGTAGGTATGTATGGGCACATGCGTTTATCGCTTTTAATAAGACTTGCACCAGCGCAACGTAGTTCTCTGTTAATTTGACCCCAGCACAGGGTTTTCACATTAGCACAGGTTTTTAATTGTGGGTAGATGGTTCATTAATATTGATTTAAAACTATAAAAATATTAATGTTTCACTCGAAAGACGGTATTTGCCCTTACTAAAATAATAATAGCTTTAACAGACTGTAACTCGCAGCATGACATCATGCCATATTGACTAATGGGGCCACACTAAGCAGAAAAAAGTTGTGCAGATCTAAAGCGGACTAAAAACCGCCGCTCAGAGAATAGAGCATTCAAACTACCAGAAGAGAACTTAAATGCGAGCAATTATTAATTGGACCAATCAGCGATAAGTGCATGAGCATAAGTAGATAATGGCAGCGAACACACACACAAACTGGTGACTGCTTGGTTATCTCTGGGCTTGGCGCATCTCAGCGCATACACCTGTTTGTGTGGGTGTCTATGCTGGTCAATGTGCGCTCAAACAAATTTTTAATGCTGCTCATTGCTGCTTTAAGCAAGACCGCTCGGTCTTGGCCGCTCTTCGTTTGAGTAACATAAATCGGAGTTAGTTTGAGCCGAGTAGTAAATTTTACATATGCACAGGATAAAATTCTGCGCAGTTATTATATGATAGGCGTAGGGCAGCCCTTTTTACTTTGATAACTATTGGTAAAATTGATAATGCTGGTCTGTAAAGGTCCCACAAATTACAATTTTAGTTAAATTCGGCCGAATTGTAGAATGTGCAATTGACTACATGGGTCAAGCTTATACAGAGCTAGGGTGCAAAGGCATAAGGCGAACGAAAAAGCGGTGCATCGAAAATAAAGCCAGCAAACTATCACAAGATAAATTCTTTTTTGGACCATAAGCAAAAACACACATGCATAAATATATAACACGAAAACAAAAACACAAGAAGAGACAAGAGGGAATAGCCAAATATGTACAGATGTGTGTATATATGCGTGCTTGTGCATTATAATTATATTAATTATTTTGTTGTAAACTTTGAATGGCTTCACATACGTTAAATAAGGTATGATATATAATTTGATGATATTACAGGCCTTTTGAATCCACAGAGCTCTTTACAGTTATATTGCAGTACATTTGGCAACAACTTTGATTTTTGTCATAATAATCTCAACTAATACTTCCGATTCGTACGAGTCTTAAAACATGTACCATAAGTACGGCATTTACTTGAGAAATACTACTTATAAAATATTTAAACAGCTTTACTCGACTGCTGGCACTTAACTAAAACATAATTTATTGCAATGTGGACAAAAATCGGCGCAACGCTAATTGAGCATGCAATAACTCGAGTGAGCGTCATCCAAAGGTAGACACAAATGCATAAGTATATATCAATTAGAAAAGCACACACTCAAATATACATACACATGTATGTAAGTACGCAAAGATAATCGCCATGTGAATGCTGCTAATAGCTCAAAACGCGATATGTCCATTTGCTGTGTGCCGTTTTTTGTAGTCCGCTTTGCGCTCGCGCAACTTAGTTCTGAGTTGGTTTGACCCCAGTAGTCAATTGCACATTAATGCATGCTGAGGATTGTGCACAGCTCCATATATTAATATTTTAATATATTATAATATATATTTAATATTGTATATATTATAATACAAAGTGAAATACATTTATACATTATACAAATTAATAATTTAGTGCGATACGTGTCCTTTTTAAAATAATAATAGCTTTAATAGACTGTAAATCGCAGCATTACATCAAGCCATATTGACTAATGGGGCCAAACTAAGCAGACAAAAGTTGTGCAGATCCAAAGCGGACCAAAAACCGCCGCTCAGAGAATAGAGCAGGCAAACGACCCGAAGAGAACTTCACTGTGCGCAATTATTGATTGCACCAATCAGCGTAAGCACCAAAAACTCGTGAGTGCATGAGCGTAAGTAGATAATGGCAGCGAACACACGCACAAACAGGTGACTGCTTGGTTATCTCTGACCTTGGCGTTTCTCAGGGCATATACTTGTTTGTGTGGGTGTGTATGCTAATCAATGTGATGCATCGCTCTCACTCGAATTTTGTGTCGTTTAAGCAGACTGACGATTCTGTAATGTAATGTAACCCACTGCGTTTTTCTTAAAATTAAATGTTGTCAAATATTAGAAGTACCTCACGCGGAGGAATATGGAAAAATATTTTCTAGAAGCGGCCTTTAAGTATAAACTATTTGTTTAAATAAAAATGTAGCCAAATTGAAAGAAAGCTTGTGTTGAGAAATGTTCAATGGAGTAAAGGCA